TGGTGTCTGTGATTGTGTGTGGATGTGTGAATAAAGGAGAAAAGAATGTGTTTTTAAAACATGTTCTGACTATTTGCATTTTCTAGGCAGTTTTTGCTGTCTCACAGCTCAATGGTGTCTTTGGTGGCCCAGAAGTCCAGAATCTGTCAACTTTGTTAATTGGCCTGTAAGCTTACAACTCTTTCTGGAGTTAACAAAAGCCCAGGGCTTCTAGCCATGAATGAAAGTAGGCACGGGGAAAAGGAACAAAATATGCTAGTTACTGTTTAAAATAAATACATGAGAATTTATGTAACCGGTATGCTAAACTAGCCCAACTGGTGGGAAGCAATCACAAGGTATTTCCACATACTTCCTTTAACTTTGCTCTGTGGGACTAGTTTTGCCCCAGCAATGAAAAGTCTGATACCTCTGCATCTTTTGTAGTTAGTTTTAAGCAATGGAAATCCACAAATTTCAAGACACAAATCATAAACTCAAGTTGCTACTGAAAATTCCCAATCCTACGTATTAGTAAAACTTCCAAATTTATTTATAGTTACAGTTCCTCTCCCTCCTTTAACTAAGTACTACTTCAAGTTTAAAAAGGTGAAGAACAGCTAATTTCTATTCTCTTCCCAATTCTTCCTCCCCCACTCAATTTCCAACCCCTTTGGAGCTATAACTTAAAGGCAGAAGGTTGGAAGCAAAAGCAACCAGCTGGATACTCAACAAACCATTTCTCCTTCCTGGGTATCCCACCTCCCCTCATCTAGTTAGGGCCATGTGATTAATTTTTATTAGTGGAATACAAATGGAAGTGATGAATAGCAGTCTTAGGTAGCTTAGAATGGAATTCCTTAAGTGTGTCTTTTCCATACTTTCTGTCATTATCTCCTGGCCAGATTTTGAAACACTATAAGGCAGAGTCAATAAATGAAAGTTGGCTAACTTTGTCAATGATCAGGTAGAAGGAGACTGCCCACTCAGCACCCAATTAAGCTATGATGGGAATGAGAAATAACCGTGATTTCTGAAGTATTAAAGTACTTAGGTTGGGGGTCATTTCTTATGGCAGCTTATGTTACTTACCCAATTGACACTGGCATAGAGAAAGATAAGAAAGGAATAAATATTTATACTTGGCTGGCACAAGTATGGTGGTTCTTAGGAGATCCCCCTTGGCCATTATTAATTCATACCTCTTGCTAATAATACTCTGGACTCAGGTGATTTATTCTTGCCTTATTTGGTACTTCCTTCTGCCCTTTTTGGAATCTGCAGTTATATTCAACATCTCCCTTACAATGCTTGCCTGAGCATGTAATATAATACCCATCTGGCTTAGCATCATGCATAGCCTTCAATTGGCCCACTGGAAATAGTCACATATCCTTTGCTCTAACAAACTCTCAAAGTGAAGGCCATTTCACACCACTGTCTCACCTTTACTACCTTCATTTCCACCACTGGAGCAGCTTTCCAGCCTGCTTTCACTGTTTATATTTCCGAATAGACACCAGCTTAATGTATCAACCTTACTGAAGGGGATGAATATCAATTGTATATGTGCATATTAGCTTTATTTTGTCAATTTTTGATAGTAAGAATTCATGATCTCCAGTTTTTCCTTTTGTACATGGTCTAGTCATATTTTGTTGATGTTGCCATATTCCTGAAGTTCATTGAGAAAACTCAATGCATTTAAAATTATGAAAGTTAGCTAGTTTTCTGCATTAAATCTGTTTTTGATGAAGTTCATTGATCCCTTTCACTGGACTTGAGCTATGAGACAGGATGCCATGTCCAAGTCCCCTTGATGGGCTGGATTTATAGGACACCAGCACATTCCTCAAAATGTCTTTTTTACTTCACAATGCACCCGCTAACCCTCTTTGACTCAATGTGAATCATTTAAGACGTTTTAAAGTATATTTTCACCTAAACCACTTGAAACTTCCCATTTTGTTCTGGCACCTGTTTTCGGAATGTTATATCTATTGCATTTTACTATCTATAGTGAAAATTTAAATACAATTACATTTACTTGGTTGTAGAATTCTAGAGCTCTCAGTGAGTTTCTCTCAGAGCTCTCTAGACAATGCTGGGTCATCATCAAGCATTTTATATTGCAAATATAAAACCACTTGGTTTAGTCCATTTGTGCTGCTATAAAGGAATACCTGGCTGGGCATGGTGGTTCATACCTGTAATCCCAGCACTTTGGGAGGCCAAGGCAAGTGGATCGCCTGAGGTCAGGAGTTTAACACCAACCTGGCCAACATGGTGAAACTCCATCCCTACTAAAAATGCAAAACTTAGCTGGGCATGGTGATGGGCACCTGTAATCTCAGCTACTCGGGAGGCTGAGGCAGGAGAATCCCTTGAACCCAGGAGATGGAAGTTGCAATGAGCTGAGATCATGCTACTGCACTCTAGACCAGGCGACAAAGTGAGACTCCATCTCAAAAAAAAAGAAGGAATAACTGAGGCTGGGTAATTTTCAAATAAAAGAGGTTTATTTGGCTCATGGTTTTGCAGGCAGTACAAGAAGCATGGCGCTGGCATCTGCATCTAGAATGGGCTTGAAGCTGCTTCCACTCATGGTGGAATGAAAAGGGGAGCCAGCATATGCAGAGGTCACCTGGGAGAGAGGTGACAAGAGAGAGAAGGGGAAGGCCCCAGGGAGGGCATTAATCTAGTCATGAGAGATCCACCCCCAGGATGCAAACACCTCTCATTATGCTCTACCTCCAACCTTGGAGATTATATTTCAATATGAAATTTGGAGGGGTCAAACAAACCATAAAAAAACACCAAGTTCTTAATTGATCTTTCTTCCTGTATGCATTTAGAGAATTATTTTCCTAGGCATCCATATACTTAATCAGAATTTTTTAGTCTGAAGACTCAGATCTTTCTTCCGGGAAATTATCTTCTATTATCCCTTAAATTATTGGTTCTATTATATTCACATTGTACTGTCTTTCTGGAAATTCCAGTATATGAATATCAAGACTCTCAGATACATCTTCGACGTTTGTTATCTTTTTTCTCATTTCTTTTTAATATCTTTTTGAATTCTTAGATAATTCCTCAAGTTAATTTACTAATCTCTTTGTTAGCAATATCCATTCTGCTCACTGTGTGATTTTCTGGTTAATTTCAGCAACAATGTTTTATACTAAACACTCTGGTGCTTCAATTTTTTCTTTTCCATAACCACATAATCTCTTTGAATGCAGCAACCTTTCCAATCTCACTGAAGATATGAATAACAATTTTCTTAATGTTTTCCGTTGTTTGCATCATTAATCTTGTTTCTTTGAGGGACATTAGAACTTACTGTCACTATTGCTTCCGTCCTTTCAGTTGATTTTTTTCAAAAGTCCGATGATAAATATTTTACTGTCTGATTATACACCTATCTCCAAATTAATATCCTTAATAGAGTTTTTTTAAATGGGCCCAGGAAGAGTGGCTATTACCTTTTATTTCAATGGAAATAATAAAATGAATTCCTAGAAGTGTAAAAATCACAATAATTTTTCATATAAATAAAAAGTTTTTTAAAAACCTAAATATGAATAAAGTGACTATTAAAGAGCAATTTTACCAGCCCTGATTAAAATGTAAACTATAATTATATAATTGGGAAAAATTAGGTAGACCATACAAAATCATTCTGGGTAAAGCGTTTCTAAATTTGTCGTCTAGCAATATACATTCTAAAATTATGTTCTGATTATATTTTAATGAAAAGATAACAAAAAGATGCTCTGTTTCTCCTTTTCCTAGTCTCTGCCCCTCTGCCCCCTACTTTCTCATTTCCCAAATTGCAATAATCTAGAACAGGCTTCTTTTGTTAAGTCATGATCAGGTGTGCTGAGACAAAGACGAGAATATGGGAAGAGTCTCTTTTCCTGAGGTCATACAAGAGGCAAAAAATAGTAGTTTACAATACCGTAATGTGTGCTTAAAAATTCTGTTAAGAGATTGGATCTTATAGTAAGTGTTCTTAACATACACATACAAACACGTACACATACAAAACAAAACAAAAACCAACAGGATAGGAGAAAACTTTTGGAGGTGCTAGATATACTTATTACCTTGATTGTGGCTATGGTTTCACAGATGTATGCATAAATCTAAACTCATCAAGTTGTATATATTAAATATGTGCAGCTTTTAAATAACAAAGTGCAATAAAACCATTAAAGTAAATAAATAGACTTTGAAAAACTTTAAAAGAAGAAGACAGATGGGAGATGTAAATCCTAAAGACCGTCAACTCCAGAGTAAAGTCTGTTTGGTTTGATAGAACCAAGGAGGAGAAGCAACTGAAGAGTAGGCTGGAGTTTGCTACACGGAAGAGGCCACATATATGTTACTTAGCAAAGAGAAATCTTAAACTCGTTCTAGATTACACCCAAAGTGAAAATGACGCTTTCAGTCAGCTGAGCTGAACAGACTGTGTTGTGGCATAGATTCAGAGTATGATTTTTATTTTCAGAATTTTAAAATACTATGAATTAATTCAGAACATATACTATTATAATGAATGCTATAATGCATTTACTTCAGTGTCAATTTCAGTTGACGGTTCATAACAATAGAGATTGCATTCGAAATGGAAGGTCATCAAGAATTTTAAAGCTAGTTTTGTGATTTTAATCCCTAGCTAACATCAAGAGTCTAAAAGGATTGGGAGTTGGAGATTACATGAGAAATACATTTCCTTGGAGAATTATCTTCACCTCTCTTCCATACACACACACAGGGATGAAGGGTGCTTTCTCCTGACCCCAAACCTAATGGGAAGGGCTTCAACTACATCAGTTAGGAGTTTGCACAGTGTACCAGGGATTTGGAAATGTGGGCTAGTTCCTGGAACGAGCCTGAAAAATATAAAGGCTTAGGAATTGTGGCAGCACAGCTATTCTGGTAGTGACACCTTGTGATCAGCCTAGATTTCCAAAATTTACTCAGGTTAAAGGTTTTTTTTTTTTTTTTTTTTTTAACTGGATGTGGGTCATACACCGAAACATGAGAGCATCATATTATTCCAGTTCCTATATCAGAACTCCATTCGAAGAGGTAAAAAGCCTATATTAGAAAGAATTTAGGTATGACTAGCAGCTAAAGAAGGATTCACCAGCATTCAGTCAGGGCAAAATAATTCATTTATGCCAAGAGAACTACAGACAGTGAGGAAGAGAGAGAACTGACCTTATCAGTCAGGATAGACTAGAATAGTGGTTCTCAGACAAGGATAATTTCATCCCCAAGGGCTTTTTGGTGATGTCTGAAGACAGTTTCGGTGACCATGGACTGACAAGGTGGAGGAGGGCATGGGCAATGCTGCTGGCGTCCAGTGGCTAGTGGTCAGGGATGCAGCTGAAAGTCATACAATGCATAGCAAAGCTTCTTACAACATAGAATCAACCAGCAGACTGTCAATACCACTAACACGGACAAATCCTGAGCTAGTGCATGCTGATTCAACAAATAATCACCAAATCTTAGCAGCTTGTAAGACAAAAGTTTACTTCCCATGTATGCTATGTGTCCATTGCATATTGGCTTGTGGCTCTGCTACATGTGCCTTCCTGGCAGAATCCAGCCACCACCTGGAACGTCACCAGTTGACATGACACAATGAAAAGAAATATGTTGAGCAATACACTAACTTTTAAAGCTCCTCAAAGAAATGACATCCATCTCCCCATCTACATTTCATTGGCCAAAGCAAGTGCCCTCATCTATTGGTTAGTTATTACCGCATAACAAATTACCTCAGAATTTAGTGGCTTAAAACCATGCAGACTTATTGTCTGCTAGTTTCTATGGGCCAGAAATGGGGCACATCATCACCAGCTCCTCTTCTTTAGGTTCTCTCAAGAGCTGCAATCAACATGTCAGCCAGAACCTCCATCATCTGAAGGTTCAAATGGGACAGGATCTGATTTTGAGCTTACTCAGTAATTGTTGGGAGGATCCAGTTCCCCATGGGCTGCTGGACCAAGGACCTCAGTTTCTTGCTGAATGTTGATGTCAGGCTGCTGCCAGTCCCTTGCCAGGTGACCCTCTTTCTCAGACCTAGAACACAGGAAGAGCCTAAAAGAGAATACCAGAAAGATGGAGGTCACAATCTTTTACACCTGGTAATGGAAGTAACATCATATCACTTTTTTATTCATTTCAAGCAAATCACTAGGTTCAGCCCATTTTCAAGGGAAAGATATTTCATAAGAGAGTGAATACCAGGAACAGGGACCAGTAGGGGTCGTGTAAGAAGCCCCTTATGGCACTTTGACATTCCTGAATTCAACAAGGTAGAATATACATTCCTTTCACAGGAAAGGTTCACAGGAAAGGTTCACAGAAAGGAAAACCACTTAGGGCACACTTAAAATACTCAGTGAAGACTAACACAATCAACTTTTCCTAACGTATTTCTTTTTCCTACGTCATCAGTCTCAAACTGGGAGTGAAGTGAAGTCCTCTATATAAATCGTGGTTTTCAGTTTTTTGATTATTATTGAATTTTATATATGAATTTCTGAAGTAAGAGATAAAACTATGATTATTACCAGAGTTACCAGAGGACCTTCTATACATGAGAGCATTTATAAGGTTTATAGGGCCTCCCACAAATTCACTCAAGGGGATGATATAAACTAGCTTCACAGAATAAATGTAAACAGATGGTGGAAGGAAAACATAAAGTTGCAACAATATCCTGTGAGTCCACTTGTTCAGTTCTTTACTCAACAACTATGTATTGATTACGTATTGTGTGCTAGATTTGTTCTACAAATGGAAATACACAACTGAATAAAAAAGACAAAAGTTTCTGTCCTCATAGAGCTTATGTTTAAATGGGGTTTGGAGAGATAATAGAATCTAAAAGAAATAATTTAAGTGTATAGTATTTTATATGATGACAAGTTCCATCAAAACAAATAAAAAAGAAAATAAGATAGAGAAAGCTGAGATATTCAGAAGTGAAGAAAGTTTCCCACACACAAAAAAGATAATATTATGAGCTGTGTGACTATATGAAGGAAGGTCATTCAATGTGATGTTTACACATTCTTCATAGGACCTTTTTTATAACTTAAAAAAATTGTTAAAATGCTATTGATCATCTGACCCTTCAGTGAGTTGTAAACTCATTGCAGGTGGAGACTCTTGCCTTAATGTTGATATCTGCTGACTGATCAGGGTAATGGTTGCTGAAAGTTGAGGTGGCTGTAGCAATTTCTTAAAATAAGACAACAATAAAATTTGCCAGATCAACTGACTCTTCCTTTCATGAACGATTTCTCTGCAGCATGCAATGCTGTTTTGTTTTGTTTTTTAATTAATTTATTGTTTTATTTCAGGTTTTTGGGGAACAGGTGGTGTTTGGTTACATGGATAAGTTACATACTGGTGATTTTTGAGATTTTGGTGCACCTAGCACCTGACCAGTGTACACTGTACCCAATATGTAGTCTTTTATCCCTCATCTTCCTCCTACCCCTTTCCCCTGAGTCTCCAAAGTCCATTGTATTGTTCTTACGCCTTTGCATCCTTATAGCCTAACTCCCTTAGAAGTGAGAACATATGATGTTTGATTTTCCATTCCTGGGTTATTTCACTTAGAATAAGGGTCTTCACCTCCATCCAGGTTGCTGCGAATGCTCTTGTTTCATTTATTTTTATGGCTGAGTAGTATTCCATGGTGAAAATATACCACATTTTCATTATCCACTTGTTGACTGATGAGCATCTGGGCTGGTTTCATATTTTTGCAATTGCAAATTATGCTGCTATAAACATGCGTGTGCAAATGTGTTTTTCATATAATGACTTCTTTTCATAGTGTCTATTTTGAATATCAACATAAAACACCACAATGATAAGTCAAGCATGCAACGGACTTCAGGGTTTAAAAATACATGTATGGTTGGGAGGCTGAGACAGGCAGATCACTTGATCCCAAGAATTCAAGATCAGCCTGGGCCACAAGGCAAAACCCCATCTCTATTAAAAAAATACAAAAATTAACTGGGCGTGGTAGCATGTGCCTCTCCTTCAAGCTACTTTGGAGGCTGAAGTAGGAAGATCACCTGAGCCCAGGAGGTCGAGGCTGCAGTGAGCCATAATAGCACTACTGCACTCCAGCCTGGGTGACAGAGTGAGACCCTGTTGCAAAAAATAAAATAAAATATAAATAATTAATTAGTTAAATGTGTGGCTTGTTTAGAAACAGTGGCTGATATAGCTTTCATGAGCAGTTATGTAGATTGCCAATCCCTTTTTGCTGACCTGCCTTGACCTTAAAGCATGGTGAGGTGGGGTAAGTGGGTCTGACTCCTAACTCTGACCTACACAGATAAGTAGAAACAAAACATAGGATTCCTCCCTAAATGCAGCTAGAAGCAATTAGGTAAAAATTTAATTTAATGTAGAAATTCCTTTTCTGGTTTCAACATGGTTGGTCTTTCTCTCAGGGTACTAGCTAGAAGCAGGTAACCAACTGGTCTTCCTCTGCAAGGGCGAGGTGCTTGAGATGAAAGATGGACACGTTTCTTCTCAGATGTATTGTACAAGAATACTTCTATAAGTGAGATATCCTGAGCTCAGCTGGTGGCCGTAGGCTCTCCTAAGCATAGTGTAGTCCACAGGAAGCTTCTAAAGAGTGTGGTCAGCAATGGCAGGTCTACAACACATTACTTTCCTTACTCCTCTTACACTACTCTTGCTTGATAATTCTTTAAGATTTCCATTAATTGAATGTCATTTTCTATGATTTATCCTAATGAGGACAGAAATTTCTTGTCCAAATTACCTGTGCTATCTCTATAAAAATTTGAAAATAGGGGAGATTCTAAAACCTTTACCAGCCATGCTTCATTTTCCAGAACATATTACATTGTTACATAGAAAGAGCTAGAAATAAAACAGATATACCATATATATTCATCTCTTTCTCTTTCTCTGTATTTATCTATATGAAGGTTATAGATGGATATTTACAGAAATAGACCAAATGGTTAATGGTTGTTACTTTGTGTAATAGAATAATATGCTTCTTTTTTCAAAAGATCTATTTGTACATTTAAATTTTCTTCCTATGATCAAGGAATGCTTTTATACTAAGTAAAAAAAAAACACAACTTTTCTTTAATTTAAACAAATAATAGAATCACAGCATGCAATTTATCTGGGGACTGTGCATCTAATAGAAGAGCTATTTTAAACTAAGGGGATGCCAAGAAATCAGCAGCTTTTGGAGATTCACTTTAAATTGTTGCTACTCATGCTAAACAAAAATGTTTCTACCTAACAAATTAATGTACAATCTGTATACACACTAGAAATTTATTTTGGGACAATCATAAGAAACTATATTTTATACTGCTCCTAAGTTTGCAAATTGCTTTGACATCTCATTTTATTTCATCATTCTAATGACCATATTAAAGCAAGGTCAGGTTTTATTAACCTTGTTTGGATGTGGAAAAGAGGCACAAAACATCCCATGATATGCATTGACAGCAGCAGAGTCACAACTCTGACTGCCACACAGTTGCTTTCTCTATCTACCCAGTAGCCTTTATTTTCATGCCTTGGTAGGTTGGACAGTATCAATGAAGATGGAAAAATGATGCCAGCAACTGATGTAAGCCTCATTGCTGAGTACAGGCAACATCTCCCATTTATTTTAGATTCAGGATCTCTTTTCATGTTTTGAAATGTGATTTTTGTGGTAGTCATGTCATGCATAGTCCTCTTTTCCTAAATAGGAAGTTTATAACTTTATTCTGGATATCTTGCAAATTTTCTATTTTCTTGAGGAAAAAAAAGATTTAACTCAGAGAACCTGATGATTTTTTTTTATGACCATCATATAAGTGGATGGTAGAATAATTTTTGGCCATGAGAAGTTCAGAACTCAATTAAGAATAATTAGGACTCAAATAAAAGTGAAAACTGGTTTAAAATGATTATAATGACAAGCTGAAAATTCAGGCAAGATTAACTTTCATATTGCTGGTATAATTTAAATTGGCAAAATATTTTTAAGTCTGTTTTGTAGCAACAATACCAAGAAAAAGTACTTTAGCAAATCATGCTACATATAGGTAGCATGCTACAGAGAAAAAATAGGTGTGTATTTACTTCATAGAAGTTCTGCTCGATTATCTAGATAAGAGGAAAACATTATAAATTTAAAAATCTACTAATGCTTTTTAAAAACTTTAGCCAATAATTCCAAAACAGTTTAAAAGATGCACTAACATGTAACCATCTTAAGTTTGGAAATTTAATATGTTTTCATTTTCATGATCTTGTAACAGTAGATTTGATGATGAATGAGAAACTGTCAATAGACATAGCAAGACTAGGGGGAAGATTGTAAATATTCTATACATTGCAAAATAAGTATCTTTAGTTATTATAAACATAAGTGGATATGGGAGATGGTACCCTAAGATGAATTCCACCAATTTGTTTCTTTCCATATAAACATGCTGCTTCTCGTATAAAAAACAGAGACTACTTTCCCTAACCTTGTATCAGTGGCCTAAGTGGCTGGCTTGGTAAATACAATGTAGTGAACACTCTGGGACTCTTAAGCCTTGTTCATAAGAGACCTTGTAACATACTCTGTGGCCTCTTGTGGTGCTCATTTGGAGAGCTCCATCTGGGAACCCAGATAGCACACTGGGAGTTGCCTAAATAACCCACAGAGGCCACGTGCAAGTGCTCCAGTGGTCAGCTGCAGCTGAGCTCTCAGCCTTCAGCCACCATCATGTGAGTCAGCCATTTGACACCATCAGCTGATTTGGGGAGCAGATGACTCCAGCTCCTCACGTCTCACTATCACTGCATGGACAAATTCTGAGTGAGAACTACACAAATGAACACAGTTAACCCAGAAAACAATGAAAGAGGGAATAATCAATGCTGGCTTTTAGCCACCATGTTTTAGGATTCATTTATTATATATTAATAGATAACTAAAAGAGTAAGTTATGAATATTAAGTAAATAATAAATTGAAAATAAAGCAAAATAAAATTCTTCAGAATAAATCAGAAAGTGTACCTGACTTTGGCTTGT